CCCCGCCGAACTCGGCGGGCGGGCGCGGCTCTGTGCCGGCGGCGTGGGGTTGGGTATTGAGCGTGGCGCGCGGCTGCGGGGCCGCCCAGCTTCTCAGGGCGGCACCGGCCGCCCGCAGTTCCTGTCCGCATTGCGATGCTCATATTAGCTGATACGGCCTGCGGACGGACTCCTAGCATCTGCATTACAATGACCCAGGCCGGGAATTTGGGGAGGCAGGAATGCATTGGCGCGCAACCCGCCGGGGGGCGCGGCTTGCTGAGACGCACGCGAATAAGGGAGTGCCTGCAGCGGCCGTCCGCGCATGCGCTCGCATCATCGGCTTGCTGCTATGGCTATATGTGAGCTGCGTCGTTGACGGGCCGCCCTCTGCCGACTGGCAGGGATGCAGCCCGACGTTTGGAGGGGTCTAGCCCATTGTCGCGCCTGGGGAAGGCGCCGACCCCTGGCTTTGACCCTTCATGACTCTCGGCCGATGCACTACCATCCGCTTTCCCTCCTCTCCTCTGGAACGGCCGGCGGGGCCGCCGCCCCGTAAAGCGCGCGCAGCCGCGCGCCTGCCGGCCCGGTCGGGGCTGCGGCGGCCTTGTGCCGTTTGGCCCGGGTCGACTAGGCACGTGCGCCTGCGCCACGCAGGGGCCCACCAGCTTGGCCCTCATTGTTGACCGCCATTTCCAAACCCAACATATACAGCGTGTGCGGCCTGTTTCAGCCCATGCAGGGCTGTCGTACAAATTCAACGCATGCAATCATCCCGTCTTTCCATCCCCCTCGGCCGCGCTGCTTGAGCAAGGGTGAGCGCTGGGGTGCAATCAAGGGGATCCTGGTCACCCGACAGCAGCAGCGATTGAAGCAGGCCAGGTTCTCAACCGCACCAGGTCGGTCAGGCGAGTGCGCGGACCTGCCACAGCCTGACCACCTGCGAGGAGGCGGGGTCTCGGGTTGATCACCCATCCCTGCAGGCAGCTGTGTGAGTCGCGGCGGCGGCGGCAGGTCTGGAGCTCACGGAGAACATGGTTTGGGGTTGCCCCGGGCGCAGCAGCCGTTCTTTTGGCCGGCGGGCGGAGGCCAGCGTGGTGGCAATGGCAGGGTTGCGGGGGCCGCCCGGCTAGGGCTGCGGCTGCAGCGTCCTGTCCCAAGAGACCTGACGGCCAAAAACCAGGAGGCACCTCGCAATCCAGGGCCATCTGCCACAGGGTCCAGGTTGCGAAGCAACCATATGCATGTTGGAAGCAAAACTGGCGTATGGGCTAGTGCGTGCAGTGCCTTTCCGGGGATGAAACGTGCGGAGCTGGAACGTCTTGCTCGCGGTATGGAGATGCAAGCAAGAATGAGGGGGCTTCAGCGCAGCTACCTGCTGTCGGTTGAGGTCAGCGTGTTGTCGCAATTGAAGTTCAGTGGTTCATAGGCCTGTTGCTTGGCAGCGCTTACTACACTGGGGGTGCGAACGTCTTGCTCTTGCGATGGCGGGCAGCAGCACGCAACGTTTAAAGTGCGCTGGTGTGTCAGCGAGCGCAGTGCGGTACCAGCATCACATTACAGCGCGATGGCGTCCTTGAAACTGACGTATGTAACCTCAGTCATATCTTTTAGTACGCTGTAACCAACGCCACAACTCTTGATTGGACAGAGCACGCACTTCCAGATCTGGTGTCGAGTTGGCCGCCAGTCAGTGCCGCGTCGATATAAACTCGTATTTTGGTAATCGTACAGTGTTGATCAGCTCGCGTAGTGGCACACGGGGTCTTTGTGCCCGCTAGCCGCGCAGCCAAGCGCAATGGCCGCGGCTTCAATACACATGGGCACTAGGGTACTAAGTCTACCTTCCACCAGTGCCAGCGGCCCAGCGACGCCCTGGCAGGCGTGCGGCCATGTGCGCGGCGCGCCGCTGCTGCTCGCGCGCCGCCGCCCAGCCCACCGCGCCGCGGCCGGCGCCGACGCGGGCGGCCAGGCGTTCAGGTTCAAGTACGTCTACCAGCCCGGCGGCAGCGGCCTCCGCGGTGAGGACGTGGTGGGGCTGCCGCTGTCCGAGCGGGACCAGGAGTCGCGGACCGTTTGGGAGCTCACCGATGACGAGCCCGCCGCCCCTGGGGAGTTTTGGAGTCAACAGGGGGCGGACGGCAGCGTGGCGCTGCGCAACCCGGCGGCGCAGCGGTTTCGCATCAAGCAGGTGCGGCGCCGAGGCTGCGTGCCGATCGCGGGGACCCATGAGGCCTGCTGGTTGGGGTGAATCTTGCATTTTTGGCACTGGGGATCACCCCGGCCGCAGCGGTCCGCAGCGCAGGTTGAGTTGGTGTCGCGAGGCCGCAGAGGGCTACCAACCCTTGTACCCCGCCCGCCGCTGCGGCACTGCCCCGGCCCCTGACGCGCCGACCCTCATGTCCTCCGCTGCGCGGTCGCGCACCGCTGCGCCGCGCTGACTAGGCGCCCCTCCCTGTGCCCGTGAGCTTCCCTGGCTCTGACTTTTGGGAGGTTGAGATCCTGAAAGACTATTCGAAAGATTGGCCAGCGCTCGTCAGGGTGGACGACGGCACGTGGCACTTCAAGTGAGTGCAGCCGCGTATTGCGTGCACCTTTGATCGCCTGAGCTGGCTGACTGCAGCGCCGAGACCTGTGCGCCCGCCTCGCACATTAGGGCAGCGCCTGAGCCTCACACCTGTCACCTCAACCCCAACCTCATCTTGTTTTAATGACAGGCGCGGCTTCTTGGCGCCGCTGGCGGACCCTAAGCTAGTTCCCTTCATGTTTTATCGCGGGCTGGAGCAGGTGCGGGGCAGCTGCCGCCCCGCCCCTTTGCGCCGGGCGCCGGGCCGCCGCGTCCGCCGTAAGCGGCGGTCGGCGGCGGCAGATGCCGGGCGACCTTCTTAGCGGCGGGTGTTTGCGGTTCTGATAGGCGCGGGCTCGCCGCCTGACGCTGAATTTCGCGCTCAGTGGGATTATTGAAGGGTCGCTTAGTGAACGAAGTCGGTCCTGGCCCAACTCCCCAATCAACACGGCAGGTCCGGTACTCTGTGGGTGACCGCGCCTTCCAGGTGTTGTTTGCTACCGTGTACACAGGTGCGCTACGCGCCGCGCGCTCTCGCAGCGCTTGCCATGTGCCGCACGCCCGCTGCTGTGCCGCGCTGCCCAATCACGCACCCGCCCGGGCGCTGCAGCCGCCGCCGTGCCCGCGCCACCCCTGCTTGCGTTCCTGCCCGCATTGCTGCCCCACAATCCTCAACTGTACATGCTTTGCTTAACATCCACATTCGCATCGGCCGCGCCCCCTCCCCGCCCTGCACCGCCCCGGCCGCCCCCGCAGCCGCTCATGCAGCAGCGTTCTGCGCCCTCTGGGCCTCAGAGCCCGGCCTGTCGGCGGCGATCGCGCTCAATTGGGCGCTGGGGCGCCTCAGCCTCGGGAAGTGGGGCCTGCTGCTGGCGCTGGCCATCACCGGCCGCATGTGGATGTACTGGACTTTCCAGGCCTGCAAGCTGGTGGACCGAGGGCTGGCCAAGATCGCACCCCCGATCCGCCGCTTCTTCTGGTGGGCTTCGCGTCGCCCGGGATCGGGGCCTCGCGCGCCGAGGGGTCGGCGGCGCTCAGGGTTGAAGGCTTGGGTCGCGGGCGCGCTCTCGCGAGCAGCGCCCAGGCCGCGAGCCGGCCTTGTGGTCGGCTGCTCATGGGGCGGCGTGCGTTTGGAGGGCACGGTTTGGTTTGACACTCCCCCCTGAAACCCTAAACCCTGACACTAACCCTTTCATTTCTTCCTGCCGCGCGGCACCTTGTCGCAGGGCCAACTTCCTTCTTTGGATGATCTACCTGGTGCTCTCCCCCTCCCACCTCTACCCCATCCCCATCTGGCCCTTCACACCCGGCGCCTTTGGGCCCCAAGAGGCATTCCAGTAGAGGAGGGGCCAGCGGTTTCCCGCGGACGAAGGCGGCGCACGCCGCCAGCGCGGCGTGCCTGCGGCGCCGAACGCGGCCACGGGGATGGTTGGGTGGCGCATGTTGTGGGCCGGGCGGGCCCGGCGGGTCCCGCAGATGTTGTAATGTTCCTGCAGTGCCCTGTGCCGTGGGTCCGACGGGGTGGAGGGCGCGAGCCCTGCTCGAATGGCCGGCTTGGTTGAGGTTGCCGCCAAATCAGGGGTACCCAGCGCCATGGGCAACCGCCGATCCTTCTCACAATCGGCGGGAACCAGCCTTGCTTGTGAGGGTTGAGCCTGATGCACCCGCGCGCGTCAGAAACAAACGAATTTGGTGCTTTCGGAAACTGGCATGGTTTGGCTTTGCAGGTTGATCAAGACACATCCCCTTCCGTTTGCGTTGAGCCCTTTGTGAAGCCCATTTGCAAATAGTAACGCAAGAAATTGTGGCGGGTGCGCACACCAGGGACCCCTGGATAGCCAACGCCAGTGTCATTCGCAGTACATCGTGCATGCTGCAGCCTGTTGCGCCGCCATCGCAGGTGCGCAAGTAGTACATCATCTGGTGTGGTGGGGGGTCATGGTGATCTGTTGATTATGCGCAGACGTGGTGTTGATGACGGGCTTGTGTGCTGACAGGCGATCGCTGCTGTGCAGCGCGCATGCATGACAGCCCTTGGGCCATACAGCAGTTTTGCTACTATGCAGGATGGTTTGGAATATAGCAGTACCTTAGGCAAAACCAGCAGCTTCTGTTGAATAGGCGCACCCCGCAAGCTTGGTGTTGGGCACCTTCTCTTGGCAAGGACCAGGTCGCCTTTGCCGACATGCATGGGGCTTCCTGTCCTGGCGTGAAAGGCGCCGTGGCCAGCTCCCTGGTGGGCTTTCTGGTTTGTGTCATAGTTACAAAACGGGGGCCAATAGAAAGGGGTAGCAGCAGGTGGGCGCCTCGTCTCGCGGCACGTCATGTCGAAAGGGTCTCAGCAGCGTGCGGGCATGTTGACTCAGCGCCTGGGTTGACTGAAGCCAGTTTGAAGCCAACAAAGGGGCAGCGCCCTGGCATGGTATCAGCATCCTCAGTCTTGTGATCTACCACTCTTTCCGTTTGCAGAGGTCGCTTTCGCAGGGTCCGCCACTCCAGATCACGTAGCAGGTACACGCTCTGCGCCGGAGGTCTTGGCTCAAAGAATGGGTGGAGGAAACGTGATCGAGGTCGGATCCAAGGCGGAGTGGGACAAGCAGCTCGCGGATGCCGGGGACAAAGCGGTGAGAGCTCTTCAGCAGGGCGCGGTGCGCGCCACGACTTATGGGATCATGCATCAGCATTGTTGTCCTGGTCGCGAACGCATACCCCTGCAGCACTTGCCTGCGACGCCGGCACAAGGCTGTGACACCGGCGCGTGCCGCACAGCACACCTGCACAAGCGACACAGCCGCTGTCCCTTCCACCCTCTGGCACTGTTTGTTTGTCGTCCAGATTATTGTCGACTTCACCGCGGTCTGGTGCGGGCCCTGCCAGGCGATCGGGCCCTACTTTGTGCAGCTCAGCACCCAGTTTGAAGACCTGGTGTTTTTGAAGGTGGACGTCGATGCCAACTCGGTGCGCACACATCAACCTCCCGCCTGCCCGGCGTCAAACCGTGCGACGCGGAGTTGTGAATGTGGCATCCTTGTGCGCAGTCGCGTGCGCCCGGGAAGGACCCGACCGCACTGCCGTTACTTGCATCACCCTGTTCGCCGCGCCAAAACGACGCGTGCCTAGAGCAGGCCCCACCCCAAACCCCCTGTCTGTGCTCTTGCTCCCCCCTCATAACAACACAGGAGGTGGCTGGCGCCTGTGGGATCTCGGCCATGCCCACTTTCCAGGTGGGGGGCGCACAAGATGTGCGGGGGCAGAGGCGGCATGCATTCACCCCATCTCCCTCAAAAAGATGCGCGCGCACACACGTACGCGCATGCATGCATACACACGCACGCTTACACAGACACACACACACACACACACACACACACACCCCACTCACACGCACACGGTCGTGCACTCACGCACGCCGCGCTTGCATGCACACGGCACGTTTGCACCCTCAAGGCACACAAAACCCAACTCGTCTTCACAATTCCTGACAGGTGTTCAAGCACCGCGCCAAGGTGGACGAGTTCATCGGCGCCTCAAAAGACAAGCTCCTCGCACTCTGCACCAAGCACTCCGCCAAGGCATGATCTAGCATCACTTGGTACCTGTCCCGTGTGCTGCGTCATCTGATCTGATTGTGCACGATCTGACAGGGCTGGCGCTGTGCCTTGAGGCCTGGCTGGCTGGCGATTCGGGCAGCCAACGGCACGGGCACGAGCTGCAATATTCAGTCTGGCGCCGCTGCGTGTCTGCGACTGCACCCCCGGCTTCTGCGTGGCAGCAGTGCACGTGTGCATTCTGCACACGTGCCTATGCAATCCTCACGTCGGTTGTAACACAATGCTTGGCGGTTTGGGACCAAATGCGAGGTCGCGGCGTTGCAATCTAGACAGCGCCGGCCCAGTATTGGGCAGACGCAGCGCGGGCGCCTCCAGGCCAGCTTCACTGCAAAAGACCTCCCATGAATGCTGATTGCCGCAGCAGGGCGAGAACGGCGGTGCGGCGGGCCCCAGCACTGGCCGCCTTCAAGTGCAACAAGCGCGCTACGCAGCGCCGGCCCCGCCCCGCCGCGCCGCGTCGGGACCACGCATGGGTCGGGGACGGGATGCACGACGTCATTACCGTGCCGCCGCGAGGGGGTTGATTCGGTTCAGTTCTGATTGCCGTAGGCGCGGTCACCGGCGTCACCCAGCCCGGGGATGATGTAACCCTTCTCGTTGAGCTCGGCGTCGATTATGGCGCTGTACACCCGCAGGCCTGATGGGTTGTGCGTGATGGCGGGGCGTGACGTAATGGATGTGATGGTGGGGGTTGACGATGTGCGAGAGGGTGACTGTGCAGCATGGCGTGGTGAACTCCAGGCGAGTACGGGAGTGCGGGAGAGGGGGCAGAGTGGGGATGGGTCGACTGCGCCTAGCACGGGCGCAAGATTTAGGGTGGGCACACCGCTGGAGGCGGCGTCGGCTGTGTTCACAGGCATCGTTGGGAGGGGAAGGGCATTGCAAAGCGGACGTCCGCAGATGCGGACAGCGGCGTATAGCCAGCAGCCCTGCAATACAGGTGTTCAGGGCGCCCCCGGTGCTGCCCGCAATCCTGTGGGCACGGTTTGAGCATAGCTAAGATCGAGGCGCACACCTGTGTAGAGGTCCGCCATGGCCTTGAGCGCGGGGGGTGCCGCGACGATGCACACGACACGGATGTTTGAAGGGTCGGCGCCGCGCGCAACAAGGTCCGCAAGGACCTAAGAAATAAAAGAGAGTGTATGTGTGTTATTGTGTGTGTGAGATACAAAGCGGCGGATGAAGGCAGAGTCACCAAAGTACGTGTATGGTGTGCGATTATGTGCGTAAGACACCAAGAAGGAGAGCGAGAGAGAGAGGGAAGGGGGAGAGGAGTTCGCGTGATCATGTGTGCGCAACACAGCGAGCGAGATTGAGAGGGCGTACACACACGCATGCACGCATGTGCACGTATAACTGTGTGCAGTGCCAATGTGCTCCCAACGCTCTGCCCACACGGCTGCAGGTCTCCCCGTCCGCAGCCCGCCTGCCTGCCCTAATCATGCCAGGCGCCTGCAACAAGCTAGCCCCTTCCATAATCAGTCACTAATCGGTCACCCCCGGCCGGCCCATCAGGCGCCCACCTTGAGCATGGTGCCGCCCGTGGCCAGCATCGGGTCGGTCACCAGGATGCGGTCTTCCGGTGACAGCCGCTGCGGGAGCTTGTTCAGGTATGCCGTCGCCTGCTCAGGCGACGCAGGTGATGCCGGGTGACGGTCGGGTGACGGGGCGCAGCCTGGGGCGAAAAGCAGCGCGGTGACTCGGCACAATACAGGCAAAACTCTACCCTGTCCCGCAAAACCTGAGGAGGGCGCTTCACATCCCTGTACCCATGCTCTCCTGCACGTTTCAGAGGCACTGCGCAAACACACCCAACACACGACAACTAACAGCAGCAGCCGCAGCTGCTGTTTGCCTTATATTTGACCTAGTCAACTTGATTGTCACCGACCTGCAGGGTCTCCTCGTCCCGGACGTATCCGACGTGGTACGTTTCGCTGATGGGCAGGACAGTTCCCGCCTGCTCCAGCAGGATGAGGCCCGCCCGAAGGATGGGCACCACCTGCAGTCAGGGGCGGTGCAGCCGATCGCGCGTGTTTGGGATTGCGTGTGTGTGTGTGTGCGTGTGCGTGTGCGTGTGTGTGTGTGTGTGTGTGTGTGTGCGTGTGTGTGGGCAAGTTCTGTGTGTCACAGGGTGAGCCAGGGCTCCTGCGAAATGGCAACGAACAGCAGCGGCCATTCAACGTCCTCTGCAGATTGCCGCTGCTGCAGCAAACCCCAAATAAAGATCTGAAAGACTGCCGCACGCCCGCTGCTTGTGCGCACTTGGTGTGGCAAATGCGCACGAGGAACCCCTGCTGAGCCGCCCCTGAGCCAGCCGCGAACAGCCGAAGCTGCGCTGCGCAACGCAGGGGTTACCGCAGCCGCCGGCCTTCCAAGCGCTGGCCGCGACCGCCGTCAGCTGGCCCCAGTCAGCATTCGCGGCTGCAAAGCTGCGGCACTCCATGCTGCCACCGTACTGCGGCGTTTCCCATCGAGGAAGTGCATGGGCCGCCCGCGAGCGGCGCGGCGCCAGCCTGTGCGCACCCCGGCGCCGCACCTTGATTGGCTTTGTGGGGTCGCAAAACTCGACGTCGGCTGTGCCCACAGGCGTGTCCACGGTCGCCTCCACTGTCGGCAGGAACTCGCGAACCGCCTCGTATATGAGCACACGCCCCAGCTCGGCGCACGCGCTGCGGAACAGCGCTGAGGGCGTCGCGGCGTTGCGCGCGATCGCGAGCCAGTGCTTCACAAGAGGGTGCGGCGGCACGTACACCTGCGGTCGCGCGAAGCGGTGCGAAGTGCCGCATGCTGGTTGCACACGCCCTGGCCGGGGGCATCACTGCTGCCATACGCAGCATGCGCGTGCGCTGCAAGCGCGCCAGTCCCTGAGGCGGCCGGTCTCAATTGCAGCACGCACCAGCATCTGCTGCTTAGGTGGCTTGGGTTCTGCTGCCCTTACAACCACGGATGTCCGTCGCTGAAAGCTGCCGCATGCCTGAGATCTGCGGGTAGGAGCTTGCCCACCGGCCCGCGCCGCGTGCATCCTCAGCGAGTGCATCGCAACTATGATATATGAGCCGTATAGTTAGACTGACCGGGCAATGGTTGCGGTATTGATCTGATGATGTCTCCAACGTGCGTACGCGCCCTAGTTCGCAAGGCATACAACAATCAAGTGCTCACACCAATGCTGGAAAGTGATGGCACGTCAGGCAATGCACAATTGCCGCTGCACAACTGCGGTAGCGGGTGGTCAAATGCATTGACAGTCAACAAGCTTTGCACCGCTGCACTTGCGCTCACGCGCACAATCACTGCTAGGCGTAGGCTTGTCCTTGAGTGTTGCTTGTATAAGGGCTGCTAGTACGCGGCTGCTCTGCACCAACTTCGCACTTTACTTCTCGCAATGTCCAACTTGCAGCCGCATTGGGTGAGCAACATCTGGCTGTGCCAGCTCAGCAGGGCACTCTTCCGGCCGGGATCTTCGTGACACATTGCCCCAGCCCTTGAAAGCTCTGCAGGCCAAGAGCCAGCAAGCTTTTGCCATCACCATGGCCTGAGAAGCGCCTTCCTGAGTCTTCAAAGTGTTACCCAGAGAAAAAGAGTATTTCTTTGAGCAATGAATACAAAGTTTCTAAGGGCTGCCCCAAGTCGTCATTTGTGAGATGGATCATTCGCGCGCTCGTGCAGTCAACGGGATCGCGCGTGGCGCGGCACCCCAAGTCAGGCCTGCCGCGCCGCGTCCCGCAGCGCGCGGCTGCTTGCCGCGCCTGGCTCAAGGCCGCATGTGCCGCAAAGAATTGCGTAATGCGGGTGAAAATTTGCATCAATGCGAGGAGGGGAGCGGGCAATTGGTGGTGCACAAAGTCCTACAGTCAGTTGACGTGACTGATGTATACGGAGGCAGCACAGGCACAGCGCGACCTCGCAGCCCCGCGGAGGGCC